CGCCCCCCCCCCCCCCCCCCGGCCATCTCACAAAACCAAGACGTGACGTCAGAAGGCTTATAACATAACCCTTTAAATCAGTACTTCCTTTTATGAGTGTGCATTTCAGTGGGTCACGGCGAGGGGGCAGAAAACACAGCCCCGGTGCGTTGTTTTCCCTGGAAGCGGCCCGAGCCGCACGGCCTGCGCCGGCCGGGCCCGCCCGCGGGCAACAGGGCCCACCTGGCCGCCCTCACACCCTTATAAGCCGAGCGACAGGCCTTCCTAGGGAGGCGGAGGGGTTTCTTTTGCTTCTTCCCGGGCAGGTTCGCCCACTCACCGAGGAGGCGGCCACGTCCAGCGGCTTCTTCCCCAGGGTGCCCCCCGGCACCCGCCTCGGCCGGCCGCCTGCTTCCCCGCTTTGCGGCCTTACCGTAAAGCGCAGTGAAAGCGAGGCGGTATTGCGACAGCGCCGGTGAGGGCAGGCGGGCCCCTCCCCGCCGCCATCTTAGGGAGGTCAGGGGAGGGAAGAAGGGTAAGGGCTGCGGCCGCAGGGCAGCCTGCGAGCAAGCCTTGCTCAGCCTGGTGTGGTTCGGTGGTAACCGAGAGCTCTCCCTGCCTGTGGCTTCCCCGGCTGTGCTCGAGTTGTGTGTGAAAATGAGGGTTACTGGCACGCAGAGGCCAAATTCTTCAGATCCCCTCTTGGAAATGGCCATGTGTTGCCTGAGGGCTGCTGCTGCCAGCGAGGGTGGTGTGGGCTGCTCTGGGGCTGCTGGGCGGCCGCTGTGGCCACAAATTAAATAGGGCTTGGCAAGACTGCAGGCCAGCCCAGAGCTGGGTTTGGGGCTAAATGAAGAAGTACATGGTTGAAATTTGGTGTCAAAAGCAGGAAAAAAAAAAAAAAAAATCTCTTTCCTGCCTTAGTTGACACATGAGCGTTACGGAGATGAGACCTGAAATGCTTCCTGGAGCTGGAGACAGCCATGTCCTGCAACACGAGGCTGGGTTTAGCCCTGTGACCGTGGCCTTGCTTAAGCCACGCACTTGGGATGAAGTGCTGCAGCTGTCCTGCTGTCCTTGGCCCTCTGCCTGCACAGATCTGTGCTGAGCCAGGTGGGAGCTAATGAGCCACAGCTTCGCAGGACTGATAAATGTGGTCCATAATAGCCAAATACAAACCCACCTATATGTGCTCGAGCCAGCTCGTGGTCCATAATAGCCAAATACAAACCCACCTATATGTGCTGGAGCCAGCTCGTGGTCCATAATCTCCATATGAGCCAAATAAAACCCCACCTATATGTGCTGGAGCCAGCTCGTGGTCCATAATAGCCAAATACAAACCCACCTATATGTGCTGGAGCCAGCTCGTGGTCCATAATAGCCAAATACAAACCCAGCTATATGTGCTGGAGCCAGCTCTATAACCTCAGAGATGAGTGCAGGTGGCTCTTGGGAAGCGAGGTTCAGTGTTTTACTTATACTGAGTAGCTCATTGCATCCTTTGTCATCCCCATGAAGAAAAAGGACTGTCTGATAGGTTTTAATTCAAAGTGATTCTGAAGATCATAATTATCTGGAGTTGCAAGAGGAAGCTGCCTTTCATTTGTCTTTATTAAAGTGGAAAAATATAAGGTGCTGCGATGTTGTTGCTTGGCAATGTGACAGCTGATAGAAGCGTCAGATGCAGCCCTTTTGATTTTTGAAATGTATTGCTTTTGTCTTTGGGAAGCTGGGTCAGGCCCATATTTAAATAGTTTATGGACACAGAATTGCAAAGCTGACAGAGATACTCCGTTGCTAAGTAAGCTACACCTGTATTCCAGGGAGCGTGAAGTGTGTAATTCAGAAAGAGCTATTTCTGGCCCTCGTGAAGCTGTCTTGCTTTTGGCTTTTTAAAAGGAGAAGGGGAAATGGTGGGAGACAACAGATAGAGAAATGTGCACATCATATTAAAGCTGTAAGGTTTACTATTTTAATCTGTGATGGAAGAAGAGAAATGAGCATTACTGAAAAATAGGACAAAGCAATGAAAACATCTGTGCTGTTCTAATTAAATCTCACTTCAACAAATCATGCATTGTTGCCTGTTCAAACCTCACCTAGCAACAACACTGAGAAGAGAAACGACCCCAAACCCAACCCAGGATTGGTTCTGACTAATTCCTACCTGTTATTTGGAGACAGTGTCTGTGCGAGGGCACACTTTCCCCCTAAGTACATTAATTCTTCTCCACGTTGCTGACATTCTACACTATGGTGACAGGACTCACTTGCTCACCTGTCAGGGTTTCCAGTGCTGTAGGTGTTGGGCACTTTCAGGAGCTCAGGAGTATTTTTATCCTGAGATTCTTATAACCTGAAGTGTTCCTGAAGAGCTGATAGTCTGACTTGGTCCAGTGTATCTCCTTGTAACTGCAGGTGCAAAACCGTGTCAAGAAATCTTGATCTCTTGAAAACTTGGCCTGTAAAATATAGTGGCCACTGGCTAAACTGAAGGGCTGAGGCTCTGGGATAGGAACCCTGCATGACCAGTTTTAGAAATGTAACACTAGATAGCTGTATAGGTACTTCAGTGATTCTTCATATTTTCTGACTGAAATGTTAAATGATACAAATGCTGAGCCTATTCAGGCTACTGCTCTGGAAGCCACTTTTTCACCTGTCCGTCATCTCTCCCCTTCAGATGCCTGAAACCAGAACTTTGCTTGCAGGATTCCTTATTCCTTGGCACTGCCTGAGCCCCTGTAAGGCTGCTTGCAGCTCCTTACTGCATTCCATCCTTGCTGCTGCATTTTTCCCCTATGACCTGCCCATATCTCTTAGCAAACTGATTGTCACACCATCCTGATTTCAATTCCTAGCAGCACTTTTCTTCTTTACATGCGAACTGACCCTCTCTTGTAACATGAAGCATGTTCTCCTTTTCCACATTTGCAAACCCATTGCTTTGATTTGTTCTCTTTTTCCTGCACTCTCTGGTTTTGTATTTACCTGTCCAAACCATGCTGGAGAAGCACTCTTTCTGTTTTGGGTGTTGCATAAAGTGGCTCAGTATCATCTCAGCAGCCCTCTGTGTATCAGGTATTACTCGGATAGCCTCAGGGGATACGTGAAGATGGAACGAGGCCCTGGAAGTGTCAGCATCTCTCTTAAAATGTTCCTTTCTGGTTGAGGGTGAGATGCATGACCAGGGTTGTAAGGAAAAGCCGTGCTACTGAGTGGTTACGTGACAGGATGTGGAAAAAGGAATTAATCTTAGAAATTGCAAGCTAGCTCATGTTGTTGCTGTGAGTGAGGGTTGCAGAGCTGGCACTTCTGTGCTTGCATGGAAACAGTAGATTATTTTGTGGGCAGCAAAGGTCTGGCTAGACATGCCTGAAAACTGGGAATGAGTCAATCAGTGTCACTGATGCTGTCTGTAACTGATGGACTCGTGCTATGAGATAACCTTTAGCTCGCGTTCTCTCTCGGTTAACATCAGCAGGACCAGCAGGCAGCGATAAAAGCAGACCCGGACGGAGGGGAGCACCATGCTCACTGGAGCTATGGGGCTGCTCTGTGTGCCGTCGTGCTCCCTTAGGTGTGGGATTCGGCACTCGACTGTGCATCCAGACAGATGGCTTTCGGAGCGCTTTGGAAACATCGTTTCAGTAGTCTTGTATTTACAGTCTAAGAACTGACAAGCTTTCACACATACGGTTCCCTCAAAAAGGCTCGATATTGACTCTAACCTGTGGAAGGCTATTCTGGGCATTTTTTTTTTAATCCAGCCCACAGGCATTCATAAAATGCCAACGAGGGAGAGGGAGCTGGAATAAGAAGCTTTCCAAGTTGTGAAGCAAAATCAGCTTAACTTAAAGAGGTGAGATGAGGAAGGGGAGGAATCTGTCTTTGCGTGTATAGTACAGACTCAATGTGGCTGTGCTATGCTTATTTCTTATTGGGAATTTGTGCAAGATGTATAAACTACCATGTCTGATCTCAGACTGCTGATAGCCCTGAATTCCCGGGGAATAATTGATTCCGCACTTCTCATTAGTATGCTGCTCATTTTAGTATGAGGCCTAATTGTGTTTACTTCCACAAAGCTGCATCAACACAAAAAGCTTGTTTATTATTTTTGAGGAAGATGGGGGATCGCAGTGGATTGCTCTAAGGGGATTTTGTATGAAATGGTGGCGTTTCAGCATCTTGTAAGATTGGTGAGAGATGCTGCACAAACTTGAAATTAATCAGTTGCAAAGCTTTGGTGTGGATTTCTCCTATGCCCCCCCCCCAAAAAAACCTAGACTTACAGGAGTCCAAAACCAAATTATGTTGATGTTTGGGGGATTTGCTGTTCTGAGGCTGATTCTCTTATCACAGACACTAAGGTTTCATCCTACCCTAAGGCTTTGATGTTCTATCTTACTTTCTACATCTTGGCTTTAAGATGAAATAAAACTGTGGGCAAGTAACAGCTGGGCATTTTGTGAGATAAGCTTTGGTGCAGGGCACTGTGTCCTCACACACTTTCATAGCCACTCGACATAAAGTGACTTATCGATGTTTCTCTGAGGAATGGAGAAATTCCTTCTGGTTTTCTTCTTTCAGGCTCTTCATCTCAGAAGTTATCATATGAAAGAATTTGTGCTATGTCAACAAATACCTTGTTTAAAACAGAGCAAGAATTTTTTTTTTTGCTTTCCATAGTTTGCATATTCTTGGTTGGCTAGAATATTAGTTAGTTGAATTTGTGTGACTTGGAGTGTGTGAGGCCACAAACGACTGTGGCACAAGCAAAACTGTTTGTAAACTAATTCTTGTAGCATGAGAGATCCAGAAGTGTTTCTTTCCTTCATAGCAAAGATTGCATCTCTTCCCAAGATAAAGTCCCAGCATATCTTTTTTTTTTTTTTTTTTTTTTTTTTTTTCTTTTTTTTTTTTTTATCATACCCTTCGTTATTGTAAACATCTGATACTGATTTCCATTAGTGTCTCGTGTCTGTATCAGGAGGATGATGAAAGCGATCTAC